ATTCTGAAGTAAGAAAGGAAATGGCTGTTGAGTTATCCTGATATGTTGAAATAGTTCAAAATGACAACTTAAAAAAAACAGACTGTCACTACCTGACCTGTGCTTATCTGAACCATCAGCTCAATAATGCAACCAAAAAATACACTTGGGTCGCCATCAACTGAGCTTAATGATGATAACGTCACACCAGCAACATAACATCAAGAAGGTAAATGCTTCAATTCTCTTAGCAAAGGTATTAGAAATAATTTATACTATTTAGTATACTTTAATCCTTTAAGGATATAAATAAGTACTTTTGTTTACGTAGTGGCATTATTTAATGGCGTCCTGTTGTAGATGCTTATATGAGCTAAACGTACAGATTGTGTTTCCAGCACAGATCAGTAGTGATACAGACATTCTGATGCGAATGCTAAAGAATAGGGGTGCCTAGATACAACTATTTAATTTCCGGCACAATTCCATTATTACAACTTTAAGGATTGGCTGATGCAGATAATGCCCCGATACAATATCAACATAAATCAAACATGCTCTTATGATTTATTTGATACTGTTGGGTTTTAAAAAATGTTTGATCGATTGATGTTAGTAAAACTGACCCATGTAATATTAACCGAGGTTTTAGATGCAAGCCAATATAACCGATATTAGTTTTTAGTTAATATCAAACCGATATCAGATATTATAATCGGATCAGGACATCCCTACTAAAAATGCTCCATCACTTCGAATGTCTTTGCTTGAAAATTTGAGTGTAAAAGAGCTTTTATTGTGCATTGGATCGTCTCTAGTTAAAATATAATACAGAAAAACTGGCGCAATGAGAAAGCACTGTGTACAGTTTCTAAAGAGCCTTGGTAGGATTTAACATCTCAATTTATTAATCCACAAATAAGATACAGAGATCCTAAACATTTGCTTAGGAACTTCTAATGTCCCCTAATATTAAAGTCCTTCCTGAATCTGAAATGATTTGATCATATCAATTCAGACATTTTTAAACAATTGCTTAAAACAATTGTTTTAAACATTAACGGAATATTAGCTAACAGTCACTGCTGATCCTAAAGTTAGCATGCTTCCCAACATCTTTAAAATATTGTTTTTCAATGTTTTTTTTTTTTGTCCATTTTTTATATGGGGGGCACAAGCAAAGCAAAACAAAAATATTAACATACAAAACAAACGTGGACTGAAACTTTTAAACTTTTGACAAATGAAAAACATTTTTAGTACTCAGTTTGTTGAAAAAAGTTTGAAGTTTGAAAACATAAATGGTTAATTTTCACATTTCAAAGTATTGCAAAAACCATCCATGTTCTGATATACTATGAAAAACATGCAGATGACAGGAACTGTTTTCCAAGCTTTTTTTAATTTATTTTTTACCAGTTTTAAAAAGCATATTTAAAAGCTAATTTCTACCAAAAACTAGCCATTTTCAAAGCTCCTCTTCAAAAACAGTTTGTTTTCTTCATAATTAGTAAAGGGCCTTACCTAACATGCCAATGCCCAACATGAATGTATCCATCCCATAAGGCATCACTCTGGAGCGTCCCCTAGCAGAGCCTGTTGGTGTCATCACTTCTTTGGGCTGGGCTTTCTTACACTCCACCTAAACCAAAATAAAAAATATTAAAGTATACCAAAGATGTAAGAAGCTACTGGTTCAAAGTTAAATTTGACACCATACTACAAATGAAAGCCTTTTTTAGAAGTCCTAGGGTGAGCCTCTCCCAC